GAACAAGTGGTCAATAAATGTTAGCTGCTACCGTGTTTCCCCGAAAATAAGACATCCTCCCAAAAAAAGACCTAGCGCATGGAAAGATAAGACATCCCCTGAAAATAAGACCTAGCGCAACTTTGGGAGTAAAAATTAATATAAGATACTTATTTTCAGGGAAACGGTATTAGGGCTACAATAGAGAAAGTGGGGCCAAAGATAGTATTCATAAAACCATATGAAGAAATTTGGAATTCATCCAAGAGCACTTAGCAGATTTGAGTTTTAGAAAGGGTGCTCTAACAGCAGAATTAACAAGGAAAGGTTTGGAGTTAAGATCAGAAACAGGAAAGCAGTTAGTAGACTAGAGGAGAGATTATGATGGCCTGAGCAAATGTGGCAGTCGTGGAGATGGAAAGAAGCATACAACTACACACAATCAGGAAGTTAAAATAATTTTTGCCTGATGGATGTGGGAGGTCAGGTGAAGTAAAACAAGAATGACTTGGGTGTCTGGCTCTTTAAGATGGGTACATTGTGATGCCATTTATTTAGAGAACACTAGAGAAGAACCAAACTACACATGTGGATTCTTATTAGGGGTGAGAAATTGACCATTGTGTGGAACATGTTGAAGTTTTAGACATCCAAATGGAAATGATCAATTTGTGTGTGTGTGTATTGTAGTTGGCTTTAGACCACCATTGTTTTATAGAACTTTCTGCAGTGATATAAATGTCCCATATTTGTCCTGTCCAATATGATGGCCACTAAGCATTTTAAATGTGGCTACTAGTGTCCCCAGGGAGCTGAATCTTTATTTGTATTTAAGTTAAATTAATTTGCATTTAAGTATTCATGCGGTTAGTAGCTACCATATTGAACAACACTGGCTTTGGAAGTCTAGAATCAAGAGTGCAAATAATAAAACAAAATTTGACTGAGTCAAGTCAGGTGAGTCCAGCAGTTTTCAATCCTTTACATCCATGGCACATATAAACTAGTGGCCCAGTGCATGCATTTGTGCATATTGGAAGGAAATTAATTAAAAGAAATATTTTAATATTACTATTCACCCTTTCTCTATAATAGAAGTGTCAACCAAATTCATGACCAACAATGACAGATGAAAACACACGTGTAATTGGCTCCAGTGAAAGCTTTATATGGATCACGCATGTGTGAGTCAAGTTAGTCTTTTATAGATATAAAATAAACTTGCTTAATTAGACCTGCTCTCTGATTTAGCTAAATTTTTCCAGCCCAGTGAAGCATCCCAACTTCTCTTTAAGGTAACTGTAAGCAACCAGCAGCAAATATCAACACAAAGTAAAGGGTAAAATATTTAACTGCAGCAGTATTTGACAATGTTATAGGTCTATTAGGTCAAATTGATGGATAATATTGTTCAAGTCCAGTCCAGTCCTTACCGACTTTTCTATTTTTTCTATCAAGTATTGAAAAAGGGGGTGTCATCTACAGATCAACCCTTTTGTTTTATAAACTATAAAAGTAGGGCAGATAATTTTCTAAGACTGGATTCTTTTGCAAAATGCACGTTTTTACATTTTGCCTATAAGATACTTTTTTTTTTTTAAGCCTTTGTACCTAATTTCTTCATAATATATCCTCGTGTGAAAATGCTGAAATTGTCATCTGGCTCTTGCAATGATGTATTTCACAGTTAATTTCCAAAGCTGGATGTTACATTTATTTTAAAAGCCTCAAGATGACTCCATTAGACATTTAATGTTAATTCTAATTTTAATGTTTGTGATGTGTCTCCAACACCTACAATAGTGCCTGGCATAGTTAATATTTTTTGAATTAGTGTGTTTTATTAATTCCATTTGCTGTTACTTTCAAACATTAAAAGATTTTTTGAAATAATTCATGTAGAACATCATTACATATAGACAAAAGCAGATCTGCTCTAGTAAGTATATTAGTGAAGAATGTGAAATCCTGCTTACACATCTATAACTTATTACACATTAATATTGCACCATATTCTACATTCTTATAATACTCATGAAAACACACCTCCTAAATTTGGAGTTTAGAAAACACTGTCCTTTTGGGAAAACAAAATTTACCTAGGGTAAAATTCAGTTTGGTCAGTTTTGGGGCTTCTACTTTTGAAATGAACAAAAGCATAATAATGGCCGAAACTGGTTTGGCTCAATGGATAGAGCGCCGGCCTGTGGACTGAAAGGTCTCAGGTTCAATTCCGATCAAGGGCATGTGCCTTGGTTGTGAGAACATCCCTGGTGGGAGATGTGCAGGAGGCAGCTGGTCAATGTTTCTCTCTCATCAATGTTTCTAGCTCTCTATTCTTCTCCCTTCCTCTCTGCAAAAAAAATCAATGAAATATATTTTAAAAAAGCATATGGCAGAGTAAAAGACTCAACAGTACCAATTTCTTTAGGAACAAAGGTACTAAGGAGTCATATTAAAAATCTGTTTCCCAGTTTACCTACCTTATCCACTAAGTAGGGATACAAATGGCTGTAGCTTTGGAATCTGGCTGATGAATTCAAATTCTGGACTGTCAACCACTGTGTAACCAACCTTGAGAGAATCTCACCTACAATATGGCGATAATCCTTGAGACAGGGAATTCCCAATCAATGACAGCTCTATTTATTACACCAAGATTTAATCCCACTCTTGATTTCACCCAGAATCATGACTTTTAATATCACTATGAAGACGACTCAACTTTTGAATCCCAGCTCAGACCTCTCCTTTAAATACCATACTTTTATATTCAACTACCTATATGACATCTCTAGTTGGATGTCTAATGGAGACCTCACATAGCCCCAAACTGAGTTTCTCCCAAACCCACTACTCCCATGGTGCTTTCCAACTATGGCCAGTTGCTCAGGCTAAATACCATAGAATCATTCTTAAATTTTCTTTCTTTCTTCTTCTTCTTTTTTTTTTTTTTTTCCATGTTCCTCATACCTATTCAGTTTCTTAGAAAAGTTTACTGGGTCAACTTTTAAAATATAAACAGAATCCAACTACTTTTCACTACCATCCTTGTCACTATAATCTCTCACTTGGATTATTACAACTTGTTTCCTAACCTCTCTTCCCTGCAGTCTATTCTGTATACCAAAGCCAGAAAGAGCCTGTTCACATCACTCCTCTGCTCCAAACTCCTTTCTGAAGTGGAGGGAAAGTCAAGTCCTTAAAATTCCCAACCACAACCTCCACTGCAGGCTCCCGATTACTCCCTATCTACTCCTTTCCTGCTGCACCAGCCACACTGCTTGCTATTTCTTTAGCAAACCATGCACACTCCCACCTCAGGATCTTTGTACTTACTCTCTCTGCCTACAATGCTTTCCTCTCAATTTCAAGTCTCTGATCAAATGGAACCTCCTTCCTTTCCCATCCTCCACAACATCCTGGCACAGCTTCTCCTACCTTCCTTGTATTACTTTCCTTCTAATACTTACCATAATACCATTTAAATCTTACTTATTGCTCTTAATCACCTAATGAGATTATAAACCACTCCATGAGGGCAAGAATTTTTCACTGTTGTTGAACTGAAAATAATCCCAGAGAAATCACTCAGTACATAATGGCTGAAAAAAATGAACTTAAGTCATTACTCCCATTCCCATATTCCCCTTTACTGAATGATTTTAATTAAAGTCACACAAAAGTTCTTAGGGTGAAAATAAAAGCAAAAGACCACTACACATTTGTTTGTCAACATGTAATGCCCTGGGTTTATTTTGTGAGAATTCTATCACAATTTTTCCAGGTGGGATTAAAAACCTTGAAGATAATATATGCCATTGGACTGGGCATTCAGACTTCGGTACTGACAAAGCACTGGTAGTAGTCTGTTAAGTACCATTCTCTTCACAGAAGAGAGGTCAAATATTTCCAAAGGAAGGCACCCGATATTTGTGGTTCTGGCCTTGCAGCCTTCTGGAGAATCTTGAAAGGAAAAAAGCTGGCTGGCTGTTTTTAGAAACTGGAATGATGATACATGTATAGTAATTACTGCATTCTTCTCCCTTATATCCTTTTTGTAAGAACAAGTAAAGAATGAAGTCTTTTAAACAATTTGACAATAAAAAAAGTACAATTTCTTTTGTGCTAAAAAAGGGCAAGACAACATAAACTCCAGTTGTAAGGACTCCATTTGCATACTTGATTTAACACTTTTTGGTGTGGAAGGAAATGGAACTACTAGGCTGTTTGTAGAGCAGCAACATAACGTTAATGCTTTAAGTACCAGAAATTACCCACAGCTTTGTGGGCAAGAGGGGATGGGAAGATTCAAGAGACTTCATTTTTAGCTTGTTACTTATCCTAATGATAGACCAGGAAGATCCCCCATTTAACAGTACACCCTCCCCCCCTTTTTAAACTGATGCGTTTTTTATTTTTGTAAAATTCTGTATGTATGTCACCATTTTTTTTTCACATGATACAGAGAAAACTCAGGGATCCAGAGGGGAACCAAGTTATGTTATACCATTTACAAAATACCAAGGAGTCCACAGCTACCTAACACATTTACTACAGCACAGGAACCAATGAAGGTACAGTGTACAAAAAAACTGTAAACACGGCACAATAAATAGATAAAACAGCAGGTTCCGCACCATGCACATGATGTGATGACACTTCATCTCTATACAATCTCACATCTCACACTCTTTGTTGCAATTTATTTCCCTCCCACCCTCCCACCCCCAAGTGCAAAGCATCACAAATGAACATTTCTGTATTCAAGTAACATATATACAAGGGTATTACAAATATGCAGTACTGTACAGATAATTGCTGTATTCTTAATTTACAGATGTGTTTTTCCTATTAACAGTAAGGAAAGAAAAATTGAAGCATGAGAGATGAGCATTGCTGTAATGTCCCCACAGCTGCCACAGAAATGCATGTGTGGCACTCCATCCCCTGCATTCAAAATGCTACTGATGCATAGCACCTAATCAAGTCCCCAGGTTGCAGTCCCACTCCTGAGAAAGCTACGTCACCTCCATCGCTACTGTATTGTCTGCTATGCTGTTTAGCGCTGGCTTCTCTGATTCATGATTTTCCCTGTTGAAATAAAGTTCAATAAATTACTTTTCTGCAACAAATTTAACAAATATAAATTGAACAAACCAAAATTATTTCCCAATAAAAAGTTCAAATATTTTTAATAATCAAAATTTGACTCTTGGGAAAGATAGCAAGAAGAGGAATAGGAACCTTTATAGCTTATTATCAGAAATACACAATCAAAAGTCAGGCTTATAAATTCCAGGATATTACCAAAAGAATTTAGTAGCCAATCTAGATTTAAAAACACAAAGAACTGGCCAAGACAGATTTGGCTCAGTGGATAGAGTATTAGCTTGTGGACTGAAAGGTTTCAGGTTCGATTCTGGTCAAGGGCATGTACCTTGGTTGCGGGCACATCCCCAGAAAGGGGTGTGCAAGAGGCAGCTGATCCATGATTCTCTCTCATCGATGTTTCTAACTCTCTATCCCTCTCTCTTCCTCTCTGTAAAAAACAAAAACAAAAAAACAATAAAATATATTTAAAAAACAAAACAAAACAAAAAACCCACAAAGAATTGCCAAGTTTTAGTTTTTTGTTTCAATCTCCTCTTTTATCGAACCTTTTGTAATTTTAAAATAAGGAACATATACATGTGCTGAGGTTCATTCATGTCAGGACTTGACGTGAGATTTTACATATGGAGTACAGCAGGATAGCTACTAACGTGGGCATCAGAAGAGCAGGGCTGTAGTTGTTCTAGTACCTATAATAGACTGCTGAGTGAGCCTAGATAAATCTCTGTATCTGTTTCCTCATCTTCAAAACAAAGGGATTAAAATAAGTTATAGAAAAAGTTTTTCAGCTCTGGCCGGGTGGGTTAGTTGGTTGGAGTGTTGTCCTGTGCAACAAAAGTTGTGGGTTTAATTCCTGGTCAGGGCACATACCTAGGCTTCAGGTTTGATCCCTGATTGGGGCAGATATGGGAGGCAACTGATTGATATTTCTCTCCTTTCCTCTCTCTCTAAAATCAGTAAAAACTTCTCTCTGGTGAGGATTTTAAAAAAATGTTTTTCATATATTTGGAATATTCCATGGGTATACAATTCTATACTGATGAAAACCATGTATTACATATTTAAGAATTAAATTAACTGTGACTAGACTCAGAATATTAGTAATAGATTAGTATCAAGCAGACAAGGACTATTAAATTCAGACACAGACAGGGATGCATGGATTTGGGAACTCAAGGCTACAGTTTGTTGCTACAAATCCTGATCCTCCTTCTAGGCCACTGCCAGCTAAGAAAGTCTACTATCAGTCTGGACATTCCCTACCACTCCAACTTCAACTACTAACCTTCCCAAACCCACAAACTACTTTACTTGTTAATCTTTCAACACATTTATATCCCCCAACTCTCTTGTCTTCCTTTTCTCTGACCAAGATCAGACAATCTAATCTTATTTTGTTAAACATTCCCAGAACACTCCTAGTGTGAAAAGATGTCTCCTAATATTGATATTATAATCTATACATTTAATTCTATAAGCATATAATGCTTTGTAATATCTCTAGAATGATTTTCATCTTATTATTTACAATCAACACTATTTAACTTTTCACACTTTTACGCCTGTCTTCCACCTAAACTGAAAACTTCTTGTCTTTTTGTTTTCCCACACTATTCTGTAAAAGGCAGGACTTTATCATTAATATTTAAAGCAGAATAGAGCTTGAGTAAACACTCTAAACTGTCCATTGAAACCCAAGAAGACAAGTTAGCATTCAAAATTTTGGTTTGACTCGGCATGAATACTGTAAGCTTTATTTACATTATTAAGAGCAGCTTAGCACTCTAGCCACATGAGTTCTATCAGTTCTGTCTACACAAAAAACTGGGAGAAATCATAGACAAAGAAGCATTCAAAAGAGAACTCCATCCATCCATCCATCCAGAGGAAGAAGAGTGAGAACATGATAAGCCATTACCATACTAAGAAAATGATGCCCAAGTCCCAAATGCAATATTCACTGTACCATTTAGCACTAATTTTCAATAATACTGAATTACCTTTTTCTGTTTAGTTCCACAATAAGGAATTCTCATCCACATATTTTTAATGTATATAAAGAAAAGAGCAAAAGCCACAAATAAGTAGAGAGCAATGCCTAAGAATTTAAGTTAGATCACTTCAGTCTTAAAATAACTACTCACCTTGGGGCTGAATCTACAGAGGATGAAGATGGGACCTTGGAAACTTGACAGTTTGCTGCGGCAGCCAGCTTTAAGGCAGACGATGGAACAGCACTTAAAGTCCTAGGTATGTGCCGTGCATTTATGGGGGCAATAGAGTTTACAGTGGCAACTGATGAAGGTACAGTTAATCGAATGTTGTTCCCAATCAGAACCTGAGTTGTTGCAGAATTGGCAGCAGTTACTGGATGACTCAGTGCACTGTGGGAACTTGAAGTCTGTGTGATGTTTGAAGGCTGTAACAAAGTTGAACCTGCTGCTGACGAACTTATATGTACTGGTGCTGTTGGTGTAGTACTGCTGAGGTGTAAGCCCTTGTATACTCCTAGAGAAAAAGAGAGAAGCAGCTAACCAATGTGCAATTTGGCTGTTAATTATAGGTAGCTGTTACAAATCTTATCAAACCATTTAAATGTCATTATCCTTACCTGAGGCCGGAAGGACGCCATTCACCCCGATCCCAAGCACCACATCATCCTTCATCTTAAATCCCATCAACTGTTCTGATGTCACCAAAGCAGAAGCAGCAAATTGAGCACTAGCAGAATCCAAAGTCTTGGAAACAAAACCCTAAAAATAAAATAAAATACAAATCTAATCAGCATCACTTAATTACAAATTAGTATTAAAGCTACACAGGTATAGTAAAATTAGTATGAATATAAACAAAAGTGGCAAACCACCGGAATATCTTTCTCTCCCTTGACAGTCAAATTGAGCAATGTTCTAGTAATTTTATAACTCAAGGATTATGATATATAAAACATGAACATGTCAATTACCAAAATGTTCCTCCTATAATGTGAAAATAATAAACCTCCAACACAAAGTGTTGGACAAGAAATAAGCTAGTAAACTAATTCAGTGTTCTGCAAGTACATACATTGAATAAATATGTAGGTAAACTTCTTTCACCTAATTTACCATATACTGAAACATACACACACCTTTGGGATAGTAAGAAAACTATCCCTTTAGAATGGAAGTAACAAAATACTGTATCAGAACTTAGCCTAGAAATTAAGAAGTCCTTGAATTTTTTAAATGAATTTTTCTTCCAAGATGCATAGAGACTCAAATCTCAGCTTTTAAACCTTAAATGTGCTTAAATGGTTTTCGGTTTAAAAGCGATTTCTTCTAAAAGAAGTATAATAATTTTTAATAAATTGTAATAATAATTAAAATAACAAGATAATGACGTAGGTGTCAGTGGGGTTCCATATTAAAGACATATATTAAACTACAGGTGAGATTTAAGGACAGGGTCTCCATCTCACATAACTATGCTTTTTAAAATAGGGAGCAGAGACAACAGCTTCTATACTCACCTGTAATGTTCTTTCTAAACCCTGTATAGAATGGCTATGATGTGGATTCAGGCGAAAGCCACTTTTCTGCTGGTTAGATGCAAGGCTCTATGACAACAGTTGGTAATTAGAGATGAACTCTGGTGGGAAACAATGAGGGATAATCATAAGACAGACAAATCCCTCACCTGTGAAGTGTTGGTGGAGGAATTACTATTTGCTTGCTGTTGCTGAATTTGTGCAAGCTGCTGTTTCTGCATTAGTGCCAGTTGCTGTTGATGTTGCTGGTATTGTTCGGCTGTAAATGCTGAACATAAAATGAGGAAACACTTTATAAAAATGCACAATATCATACACGTTTAACAATAGTAAAATTTCTTCATTAAAAAAGTTTGTGCAAAATTAAAACATTTGACAAAAGCTCATGGTCCTGCTAAAGATCACTTTCAAATGAAAATTTAAGCTTACAACCACATTTCACAAGAGTGGGTTGAATCTAAAGAAAAACAAAATTAAACTTCCTGAGTTATTAAACATAGGAAAGAGATCTGTTCACTTCTCAAGTCGCAGAACCATTATTTTTGTAAGCTGTAACATTTGTGTAAAAAAGTAATACTAGCTTTTTTTAAAATCCACATATTTGAAACTCAACTTTGCACTGAGAAGAAAATTTGATAATTACCATTTGGTTTCTAGTTTACTCATATTACTGTCCCAATGCATTCAGATAGTAATCCTAACATAACTGTTCTATATATTTTCTAATTTTAGTTATTACAAATATTTCCTCTATATAAAACATAAGGTTGTTGTTGGTTTATTACCTTTCTTTTTTATTTTAAAGAACCCATCCTTTAAGCTTAACACAGGAAAAAAAAAGAGGTTCCATATGTTAATTAATTTTCCCCACTCAATTAACCCACCTGGAAAAAATCCAGTCAATAAGAACGGAGTTGTTTATGTTGATTTACTGTACAGAATGATGTCTGAGGAAAGACACTGTGTTATGCTACTTATGTTTGTCTATGGAGAGCTCAGTTCTAAAAAAAACAAACAAAAAAATGTTCATTTATTACCCCCCAAAAAGTGTGTTCAGTTTTTAAAAAGGAAACCTTTTTTCTTTTTTTGATTTCGCCAATTAAAAAAGGGGAAAAAAAGCACATACAATCACAACATCTGACCTTAAAGGCTTCTTTAAGAAGCCCGCAATGTTTAGGTAAGAATTATTTCAAAACAAAACAAAAAAAGGGTTATCATGCATCCCTGGGTACCAGGGAATCTATAAATAAATCATGCAAATTTCCTCAATCTCAAGTTGAATGTTTTCAAAATACTGCCACCTAATTTGTTGTTGTTTTGATGATTTATTTAGATGATCACTTCATCAAGTTTTTAGTTTTCACATAACTCATGAAGAATCTTTATCTATCAGTATACAGCATCCACCTTGTACAAGTACAAAATATTTAGGTAGAAATTCTACCATATTTTGAATGGATCAGAAAATTGTGAAAGAAGTAAGTATCTACATCAGCTCTTAAACTTGAGTTGAACTAAATTTTGGGGCAACAAGAGCAAAAAAAAAAATTTTTTTTTAAATTTTTAAATTCAGTGTGTTAAAAATCTATTTAATTGATATCTGTTCTTTGACGAGTTTTTCTGTGTTTGAAATCCTCAGATCTGATTCCTACTGGGAAGATTTTTATTAATAATAGAAGAATGCCTGAATAGTGGCATAAAAAAGTAATTTTCTGTCAACACAACCATTTTCATATAACAGAAATGTGTTGAATCAGAACTTGAAGAAAATCTACAGAAATTTATTCTGGCTTATAATATATTATTATTAGTTTTGCTAATATGTTCTTGAGATTTACACTTTAATTTCCTAAATTTGAGTGAATTGTGTAAGTCTTGAATTTCCTTAGTAAGGAATGCTTAGTACGTTTTTTAAAAAAGGAACCATTCTGGAAGGTCAGGTCAGTACAGACCTAGAAAATCAATACTTTAACATTCAATAAAAGCCTATATGTACAAAACTCCACTTATATAAATGGAAATTTTCTGTTGTTGATCTTTGCTAGTATTTGTATATGTGTGTTTTTTCCTTTGTTCAATCTCTATTTTTTTTCCTCATCTTTATTAATTTAAAGTGTTCAGTAGATAGACATATGTTTGTGTGTGGTTTATTAAAAAATTTAGCAATAATTGGAAGTTGATTTGAATAAAGGTTCCAAATATTTTTGCCCTATTTAAACCAACATTTTAATGGTTGGCCTTTGTAGGTTTTGTGACTTTCAGTTTTTAATAACTGTTAACTTCCTCCCAATAATAGATTTAGAAATAACAATCACGTGACATTTTAGATCTCTGTTAGCCCATTTCATAGATATCTTTATATTCTAGAGTTTATTACTAAAATTTTCTCTGGATATTTTTCATAAATGATCTTGAAGAACTGTATAGATAATATATGAGCTAGAAGCAATGGTAGTAAAAACCATGAGTCTGGGGAGCCAACACATCTTGATTGTTATTTTAGTTCTCAGGTCTATCATAACTAGTAGAGTATACCTGGCCAAGTTACTTAACCTTTCAGGACTCAGTATTTCATCTAAAATATGGAAGAGATTAAATAAGTGATGACTGTAGTCCTTTTCAGGTATGAGATGCTAAGATTTTAAATTTCTTCTGAGACATAAAATTCTAATCCAAAGGGCTGTGTAAATGAAAGGAAAGCTTGGTAAGGTAATAAACTGGGCCAAGTACAATCTGAACTGGGTTTTACATTATTATTTGTACAGAAAACCGAGAACACCTGGATGTCATTATAATTCAAAGTGCAAGCAAGTGCTAAGTGGAAATAAATAAAAATGACCATATTTCCCTAACTCTCTATCAAGGTATCAATAGAAAGTTTTCAGGTTGTATGTCTAATCTCCAAATATTATGTTGTGGTAAAGTTTGCAATTCACACAAAGATGGACAAGATGGTTTAGTGGACAGCATCAAAATAATTCCACAGAACCAAAAAATTTTACATCAGGAGGGATCCTTAGTGATTTACTCCTACAACCTAATGGAGATGAAGACACTTTCACAAAGGTATTTATTATATGAAGGGAAAAAAAACCCACCCCCAAAGCAAAGAGATTTTAAATATAAAAAGATATAGACAAGATTGTTTTAGATTTATTATTATTTATATGAGAGAATCAAATTTTTATGTACCGATAGTGTGAATCAAGTATTTAAAAAACCTTATCTATTCAGCACTTAATAAACAGGAGCCTAGGAAGTGAAGAAGAGTGATGTGAGGCCATGATCAAAAGCTGAGAATTATAAAGGAGCACAAAAGGGCTTAAAATATTTGAAGGACACTTTGATGTTGGAGATCAAGAAAACATATTCAGAACCAAGATGGCAGCATAGGTAAACTTCTACCTGAACTTGCTGTCTTGCACAACCACATCAAAACTACAACTAAAAGAAAAAACAGACATCATCCAGAACCATGGGAAGGCTGGCTGAGTGGAAGAAGGAAAGAGGAAAGCGCATCTAGAGTGGTAGGAGGTGCAGAGGTGCAGAAAAGGGAAGGTGCAGAGGCATGCGCGGAAATGGCCTGGCAACTGGGTACTCTATGGTCTTTTTCAATCAGGAGGGAGATACAAACTCCCGATTGCTCAGAATTCCAGTTCCAGGCGAGACTCTGGGGACCCAGACTCATATGGGAAGAAATTGGACTGTCTGGCATCAGGCTAGAACACTAGGGCAGCTTTCTCTCAGAGGTGGTTGCAGTTTTCATTGTTCCTGCATGGAATCTAGGGCAGGGCCAACAGGCAGCCACTGCTGTTTGCACTGCCCTGTGATTCCCTGAGACCAGGCCCAACCCAATTTACAACCCCACCCAAGCTGTGTGCAGAGGCATTTGCATATGAATGGCCTGGCCTTTTGCAATCTAACCTAAAAAACTGCAGCTGGGTCAAAGAACCCCAGGGCCTCCAAAAGAAGGCCTAAGGCTCCTCAGCAGCTTGCATTGCTTCACAGCTGCACCTCATTTGGGCACATCCAAACCCCAAACTAAGAGGAAGAATCTACAGATCTCTCTGTAGCTCCTGCTGGGTGGCCTCAGGCAGGGGTTGACTTTGTACTTCCTTGGAGATCCAAGAGCCAGTGCACCCAGTGGTCAAAGTGAGACCATACCAGATTACAACTCTTCACATCCTTAAGAGACACACTCAGAGGGCAGTTTCAGTGATCACCAAAGCCCCACTGAAGCAAGTCCAGCCCCAGCAAGTCCAGCTGTGTCTATAATGGGAGAACTGCTGTAATGTTTCCATTACAGCAGTTCTCCCATTATAGACACAGCTGGTCCTCACAGCCAATTGGCCTGGAGGTCAATTCCACTCAGTGATACCAACAGCAATCAAGGCTTACCTACAAGACTGTGCACACAGCCCACAACAGGGTGTGCCAACTATCCACCTCAGGTGACTGGGGAGGCTGAGCAATGAGCCCTATAGGACACCTAGCATACAAAGCCACTCTATCAATACAGGGAAGCAGCCAAAATGTGAGACAAAGAAACATGTCACAAATGAAAGAAATGGAGGAAAGCAAACGACTGGATATAGAGTTCAAAACTACAGTTACTCAAGAACCTTCTAGAAACTTCTGAGAAATTTAGTGAGACCCACAAGGATATAAAAAAGGACCAATCAGAAATTAAACTTACACTGACTAAAATAAAGAATAACATACAGAGATTCAACGGGAGACTGGAGAATCCCAAGAATCAAGTCAAAGATTTCAAATATGAAGAATCAAAAACCACCCAACCAGAAAAACAAAAAGAAAAAAAAAATCTAAAAATTTGAAGATAGTGTAAGGAGTCTCTGGGACAACTTCAAGCATACCAACATCAGAATTATGGGGATGCCAGAAGAAGAAAGAGAGCAAGATATTGAAAACCTATTTGAAGAAATAATGACAGAAAACTTCCCCCACCTGGTGAAAGAAATAGACTTACAAGTCCAGGAAGTGCAGAGAACCCCAAACAAGAGGAATCCAAAGAGGACCACACCAAGACACATAATTAAAATGACAGGAGCAAAAGACAAGAAAAGAATCTTAAAAACAGCAAGAGAAAAACAGTTAGTTACCTCAGGGGAGTACCCATATGACTGTCAGCTGATTTCTCAACAGAAACTATGCAGGCCAGAAGGGAGTGGCAAGAAATATTCAAAGTGATGAATAGCAAGAACCTACAACCAAGATTACTCTACCCAGCAAAACTATCATTTAAAA